TTTCCTGTTGGTTAAATTAAAGATTTTGTGTACTACATAATGGCAATTTCTTTCAAAAGGAAAAACTTTAGAAATGCTTGGAAGTAAAACTAAATTATTTCCAAACTGTTCCGTGTATTATTGTCTGGAAGAAGGGTCCTATATGTAGGCCTTGGATGATGCTAGGCTGGGTGCAGAAGAAGAATTGCCTGGAAAGTATATCTTTTCCTTGGCTTTATCCCTAGAGGATTTCACTTAGCAGGTCTAGGATAAGGGGTTGTGTGTGTGTGTGTGTGTGTGTGTGTGTGTGTGTGTGTGTGTATGTGTATGTATGTGTGTGTAAGCTCCCCTGCCAAATCTGATGAATAGTCAGTAAGGGTAACAGTGATCTAGAATATTCATTTCATATAAATACATATAAAAGTTTCAGAGTATCTTTTCTCAATTCCTAGGTTGAGGCTGATATTTAATATCTGTACATAGCTTTATATTATAATATTAAATATAAAAATAAATATATAAAATATAATTTATATTATGTATATAATATAATTTATATTATATTATGTATATAATATAATTTATATTATGTATATAATATAATATATATCATATTATTTTATATTGCAGCCATCCAAATTGATCTATTGGTCTGAACCAAAGTAGGGTTTTGTGCAGTGTAATTCTTAGATCACCCCAAAATACTCGAGCTGTCCAATTTCCAACTACTTTCCCAGTCACTTTAGTATATTGCACAAGAAAACTTAGCAGCCTAGCTGGTAATTTTCCTCTGGGATCCCCAATTAAGCTATGTAAATGCAGGTATCATGGCTATCAACATGGCTGCTAGCTACCATATGACTTTGGCCATGTTGCTTTATTTCTGGGGATCTCAGTTTTCTTTATGTAGGGACTGCCACTCATTTCCTTGAGTGATAGTTTCCATATCAGAGAAGATAAATATAATTGGAGCATTTTAGAAGGAGTTTGGTAAGCTTCTGGTTATATACCAGTAACGTACTTTACATTCAGTATAGTATGTACCATCTTAAGTTTCCTGCCTTCTTTCAGGAAGAATTCTTGTAAGACTCAGATATTTTTAAGATTATAGAATTTCATCTATCTAGGTAGAAAATGTTAAATTGTGTTGGATTCATCTTTTTCCTACCATCTTCTTTTATTTTACCTGAGTAGCTAACTTCCTACATTAATAATTATCATATCTTGTCCTTAAAGTTGGTGTAGACATGCATAAGTTATACTGAGTAGCTTCAATTATCTTTTCAGATTCGTGTGACATACTTCACAGAATATAGAACTAACAGTTATATAAATAAGATATCACATAAGAATGTGATTCATAAAGCTGACTTCCAAAGAGAAATTTTGATTGTTTTAAAGGAGTATTTTATATTTTGCTATAAGTGTATATCTCAGCTTTCCAATTTTTTTTTAAAGATTTAGCAAGGATTTATTTTAGTATAACAGGATAAAGTATAGACAAGTGGAAGGGTGGAGAGAAAGAGAGAGAGAAACATTTCCTGCCCTCATGCAGGAAATAGAAGCAAAGACTCCTCAACTTTCCAATTCTTATGCTGAAAATTATCTTTGAAAAATTTCTGAACAGACCATTGAAGAACAGTGTTTTTAATGTAAATGAAAATTTTCAATGAAATTTTAGTGGCCATGAAACTTTTTAATGTTTTTTTTTTATCATTTCTGTAGCTATTAAACTCTTCCACAGGGCTGGGGCATAGCAGAGTACTTGTCTACCATATGTGAGGCCCTGAGTTTAATTCCCAGCACCATAAACATACACACATCATTCCCACATACACACTTTTCCTTCAGAAATATTTTCACTATGGTATTAAGTGTACATTAGGCAAAAAGATCAGGTCAAAGTGGCCTATAAAATGAACATGCCTTTTCTTCTGGATACAGTTATATTAGAATTACTGTTTTACCAAAATTTATTTCCATTACCTAAAGAATTTTAAAAGATAAATTCATAAAATCAATAGTTATTATAAATTAATATTTCACATACTAATTGAGAGCATTTTAAGTAAGTGACAGCATCTAGAAAGATCTTTGTATTAGTGGAATTGCCTTTTTGATCTACTCTGGGAATATTTGCCTTATGTGAAAGCCTTATTGGCAGTATTTATGAAAGTCATTTCAATACTAGGTCAAATACCCAATTTGGGAAAGAGGACTATGAGTCTGTTGCCAGAATAAGAAATTAATCTACTAATGAATTTTTTAAAAACCAAGAGATATTTAATCCAAGGCATAATACTTTACGGTACGTGTTGCCTAATAGCTTATAGGATGGATGGTAATTTGGAAAATTGAAGGGGAGGAGCTAACTGGGGACTGTTAATACCATCTGTTCACAGGTTACATCTGGCAACCTCAGCTATCTGGATTCTTAATAGAACCAAGTTTTAAAAGTTCATTGAGTTGGCAGCCAAAGTCAATGTCAAAAAGTCCATAAACGCCAGGGTTGCATCTTGTTCCCAGTTATTGCCCCAGAGGCTAGCAGGCCAAAAAAAACCCTGGCACATTTCTTGAATGCAAGCACAATCAGAATTGCCTTGCAGCCTGTTCATTCTTATTTTTGACACAATTCTAATAATTTTAATTACCTGAGTTACTAGTTGCTGGTAGATTGCAAGCTAGGAAGAGAGCTAGGGCAATAAGAGGTAAGGAAGTGGGAAGTAGAAGTGGCACTTCAACATTCTAGATCTCTTCTTTTGTCTCTGCAAGTGTGTGTCCATATGTACCATTCCCTCCTTTCCTCCAGTGTCATAGTAAGTTCTTCTCCTGGTCAGTACTTTGAAATCTCATTCCTCCTACCTCTTAGGAGACCTTGTTCAACATTTTCAGCCTGTCATTTACTAATGGCCCTTTCCCTTGTCCTATAAACATTTATGTTTCATTCTATAAACATTTAAGTCTCTTCCACCCAGGTGCCACCTTTTCTTTATGTCTCCCTTCTAACTACCTCCATATTGTCTTCTCTTTTCTTCAAAATCTTAAACTTACTGAAATGAGTATGTGTTCACATTCCAAGTTTTTGATGCCCTACCCAACCACTTATCATTCACTCCTAAATCTGAAGCAACTTGACTCATACCCTCTACCCTTCACAAGATCCCATGGACATTTTTCAGGCTTCTGTAATATTTTATGCTATTCTTCCATACTAATTTAAGTTATTCCCTTCTTTAGTTTCAGTGGCGCCATTTTCTACCTACCATTTCTACTTCCTTGTCCTACTCCTTTGTTTATCTCAAATATTGATGTTCCCAAGAGTTTTGTCTCTGGTCTTTTTATTCTAATTGTCCTGAGAAATACCTTTGTCTATGAGTTTAACTACCACTTAGGTTAATATAACCACTTGGTTGGGACACAGGCATCTTAAACTCAGCCCAAAACTTCCTTTACCACTCTTCTTCCAACCCATCCTCAATACCTACAAATACAACAAAACTGAAATGCATATATTCTTCCTCTTGGATTACTGTCATGGTGAATAGCACAAGCATCTACACATCACTCAAGTGTGGAATTGGAAACTGTCCTGTTATTACCTTGTCCTAACCCTTCTAAATCTATTTGGTCAATTCTGCATTTTAAATGGATGTGCGGTCTCCCCCTTCTGCATCTGTACTTCATTAACCCACTTGAAGACCATTTATTAGTCACTGGACTGTAGTAATAGAGGTGCCACCTAACTTAACTACCTCTAGTCTGCCATCTGACTTAACTTCTGAAACAAATATCCTGTTGCTGATTTTTTTTCCATCAGGATAAGGCAAAACTACCTATGAGCACACAGTGCTTTTGTGAACTAATCCTAGTACACTTTTTCTGTCTCCCATCCAGCCAGTCCATTGTTCTAGCTATGGCAATGTGTTTCCATTGCCCCCAAAGTGCCATGCTTTCTTACCCTCCTTATTTTTGTTTGTGCTGTTTCTTAATACCTGCAATTCCCTTCTATCACCTTCATGGTTAATTCCTAGTCATCTTTTAAAAATTAACTCAAATGTTAACTTTTCAATGTGTTTTGTATAACAAGGCTGAGTTGAGTGTACCTGTGAAAACACTCTCATGATACTTTGTGTATTGGTTGCCCCTCCATAGAGCATTTTGAAATTATAACTACTGATTTCCTTGCCCAATTCTCATAGTATATTGAGCATATTTAAGACAACAGTTATGCCACCATATTTGGTTTATATCTCTTCATTACCACATGCCTCTGGATTGCTATGCAGTGAGTTCTTGCTTTATATAGTTGTTCATTGGTGAATGAATACTTCATAATGTGCAATATTCCAGGTCATGTGCTTTTTCAGCATCCTGATACTTTGCTTCTTAAAGCTCAAAGCCTGATCACCAAGGAAAGGCTAATTATATTTATTCTTTATCTTCTATTTAAGAAATATAGGAAGTATGTAATCACTTTATACATCTTACACTCCCAAATGACTGCTTTTTCTTTTTTTTGGTTTGTAAAAGTGTATGGTTTGGGTTATTTGGAGAGTAGAGTCACTTTGGTGGAACATCTTGTTTGCTGATAATGAATGCCAATAACTTGTTAACTTAATGTTAAAAGCAAAATATGGGGCTGAGTGTGGTGGTACATGCTTATAATCCTAGTTACTTGGGAGGCAGAGATTGGAAAGATTGCACTTCAAAGCCAGCCTGAGTATGGTGGTTCATGGCTGTTATCTCAGCTGCATGGGAGGTGTAGGTAGGAGGATCATGAGGTCGGAGGCCAACTGGGGCAAAAAGCATGAGACCCTATCTGAAAAATAAAGCAAAAAAGGGCTTGGGGCATGGCTCAGCTTACCTCGCAAGCATGAGGGCCTGAGTTCAAACTGCAGTACCACCAAATCAAACCAAACAAAATAGGTGTGTTGGGAAGTGTTGTCATTTTTAACTTAAAATGGACAGATATGAAATTTTGTGTTTTTTTCTGTTCTCAATTGTCCTTTCTCCACATCTAGCTCAAGACTGCAGTGCAGATGATGACAACTACCTTGTGCCCATAGCGGTGGGAGCAGCCTTGGCAGGAGTACTTATTCTAGTGTTGCTGGCTTATTTTATTGGTCTCAAGCGCCATCATGCTGGATATGAGCAATTTTAGAACCTGCAATCTGATTGATTCTATAAAAATATATGCAAATAGCAAGGTTTTCTTGCCTCAGTGTATGAAACACTTTGTTCCTTTAAACTGATACGCTGAAACTTAATTCTTAAATCAACCCCAGCATTTCGAGATCAGTCTTTATTAATAAAAACTGCTCTCCTTTGATCAGCTTAAAGTTGAAAGTGGTGTGTATTTACTGATCCTAGAGACAAACTTGTTAAAAAAAGACTGATGTACAACATTTTAAGGTATGTCTTTTAAGAAACTTTGGCAAAATTTTTTTCCTAACCTAAGATATCTTAAGCTTATTAACATGACCATTATAAGAACAAAAGACATAATTGTATCTTGCTGGAATTAATAAATATTGTTACACTATCCGTGTTCTGTTTCAATATATAAGAAATATCCCAGTTTATACTTATCACAGTGCCTTTGCATATAGTTTATTAAGTAAATATTGATATGGTATAAACGCCCATCAGATATACTCAAACTTGGTTTTCAGTGGAACAAAGTAGAGACTGTCCTCAAGACCATCCACATTTTTAAGTTTGTGACTTTTGCTGATTTTTTTGATTCACAAAAATTTTTTAATTGTTTTATTTTTTCAACAATATAGACTGAAAAGATTGAAACATAGTTAACCACTTGTCTTGTTTTCCTCTTCTTTGGATGCCTGATTAGCATTGAAAGATAGAAATATTCTATGAACTAATTAAGACAGATTGTGTTGTGTTTCTTTACCGCATCTTGTTGATCTCTGGAGCATTAAAATTGATTTAGTGTTGTCATCATACTGGTACTTATGAAATGTAAGCTAACAGCAATCTTAGAAGGGAGGCAGTGAAGCATAGCAGCTAGGCTCTTGCTTCTTCAAGATGGGCCCTGTGGGGCAGATCATAGTGGGGGTGTAGACAGAGGCAAAGATAGATAATCAGCCCTTATTGAAACATAGACCATAGTATGTGAAGTACAGATATTGAATGTATAGATAAATAAGAAGGAACCCTAAACTCTAATAGATGAGAAGACTTTCACATTGAAGTGATTAATTCATTTTAATGTGTATGTTGGTTTGTTCAGGTTTCTGTTAACTTACTGATCAAAAACACATTGTATCTTAGAACCCAGCTCCTGGTGTGTTTGAGGGCTTTCAGTAAAATATAGCAAATCCAAAAAAGGCTAGTGTGGTTACTGAAATTCACATTATGTTTTCAGAACAATAGCAACTTTTTTGTGAGTAACAGAGAGATAAGAGGAGGAAAAGTAAAAAATAAAGGAAATATGCGAGTTGTGATCATAAATCACACCAACTATAATTTAGGTTAATTGCTTTAACCTTATACTAGAAAGGACCTTAGGGATTATTTACTCCAACTCCTTAGTTTTACAGAAAGGGGAGTGCGTTCACTAAGATTACATGTCTAGTGGGCAACACAGCCATTATTAGTCTTTTGCTAAAAACTGCCTGAATGAAATCTAATCATTCAATAGTAAAACAACTTCTTGCTTAAACTTGAAATTATAAAATCAGCATTGGGCACTTTGAATTGCTGTGCTGTTTTGCTTAAGTGTTTTTAAGTAGCAAGTACTGGCCTTCAGAATAATAACACACAGAAACACTTCTGTTATGACCTCTGTTAATTTAAAACCTTAACCTCTTTGGAGGGGGTCACAAACGGGGGAAAAAGATAAGGGAGTAAACACTTGTGAACCACCCGATGTTTATCAGATGCTTTAAAATATATATTTCTCAATAATATAGGTATTATTTCCCTTTTATAGACAAGGAAAGCAAGGCCCAGTTTAAATACCATAACAAGGTCCTTTGGCTAGTACTTGAAAAAGTCAAAATTCAAATTCAATTCTGTCAATTCAGAGCTCAAAATCTACCTTGCTCACATTGCCTTTCTGGTGGTCCTGTGAATGGACTTCTGTGAATTACATTCTGCTATTCTAACAGGCCACCACTCATCTGAAAGTAATTACATATAACCTGATCATTACCTGATGTCTGGGTAAAATTTATACTTCATTTTCTTAACCCTAAGTTTTTTTTTCACTTAAATTTTATTGTTTATACAGAATTATTTTAATGTAGTACTAAGGGTGGAACCTAGGGCCTTAAGCATGCTGGGCAAGCCCTCTACCACTGAGCCACACTCCCAGCCCCACTTATGCTGAATTGTTATTTTTACTTTAATAATATATGTGGCAAGCAAGTGGGGAAATATGCAGGCAGTTGTTTTAAGTGTAGACGTTTGCTCTTTTCCTTAGTGCCATTAGGTAATTAAACCTAAAATCATCCCATATTGAGCAAGCATAATTCTGTATTTGGACTCTTTCCCATTCTTTCCTTATGTTCTTTCTGGTTTTTGGACTGAGGAATTTGGTGTAATTTTAAATGAAATGATAATAAGAGACATAGGATGATCAGTTGCTGTGAAATGTTTGGGTGGATTTGAGAAAATAATAAAGATAATGCTATAAAAGACTAACCTGTGCACACTGTCAAAATGCCTGTTTCTTGTTTTTGCTTGTTCTACTTAATTACATTTTTTACTAATTTCCTTTCCTTGCTCTCTGTCTGTTCTTTTCTAACAGCTGAAGAATGTTCTGCTGACTTTGACCTCAACTTTCTTATTCCTGTTGCAGTGGGTGTGGCCTTGGGCTTCCTTATAATTGTTGTATTTATATCTTATATGATTGGAAGAAGGAAAAGTCGCACTGGTTATCAGTCTGTATAATCAATTTAGTCTAGTGCTATTTTTTTGCAATGTTTCCATTGGCTGAAAGCCAGGAAATGCTGTGCAGTAGATTGTTTAAGATACACAGACTAACCTCAAAGAGTTGCTAGCTAACTTGGGCATGAGTAGCACTTATTTAAGAAAAAAAATGTATTAGGACCATTTTCTCCATTTACTTTTTTCCTTTGTTAAAATGTAATTGAAAGAAAAAGTATGGCTTAGCGTATGTCTTTTCAAAGTAAATAATGATTTTAAGCCTCTGGATCCAGTTATGAAAGCATTTCTACTGAAGTATAATTTTATATGTTGCAGTTACTTGTATTTTGCTACTTTGATGTTATTTGCAAAATCAAAATTGTTAGAGAATTTCACATGCTTCTGGAAAATAAATTCAAGAACATAATGAATTCATTTTTATTGGTAACAAACAAATTTGGTTCATAGTAAGATTTCTTTTCCTCACCTCCTAGTGAGGATTGTTTAAATCTGTGTTTTTCTGATCGTTAAAAGAAGAAAAAAGAGGGCTGGGGGTGTAGCTCAGTGGTAGAGCACTTGCATAGCATGTGCAAGTCCCTGGGTTCCATCGCCAACACTGCAGGAAAAAAAAAAAAGTATTTCGCAATAATGTATTTAGTAGCAAAGGTCTGGCAGTCCTCTCTCTCTCTCTGTCTCTGTCTCTCTCTCTCTCTCCATGATTGTTAGTGGCCACTATATTTTTGCAAGAAATTTTTCTTTTGCCATTTGAGTTTTTTAATATGTTGATTAGCTCAGATTTAATATTTTTGGTGAAAGATGAAATAAGACCATCAGCTTTTTTTAGGGTGTTGATTTAGTATGGGTTATGGTTTTTGAAGGTTATGATTTAGAATTTTTCCCCTTATAGCCTTAACTTGTTTAGAAAGTTAAGTCATCCTGAACTAAAAAACTACGTTCTTTGTGTGCCTCCTCCTGCACGCTTCAGTTCCCTATATGAATAAGCTCAAATTGATATTTCTTATGCATTGATTTCTTTTTTCTCAAAGCAGCAACTGCTAACTCTAGAGGCTAGGGGGCCCTGACATGTTATCAGTCAGGTGGCTAGCCTAACCAAAACTAGACCAGGATTATTCTGTAAAATTGTTGATCCTGATAGAGACTTTTATCCCTATAGGGACCTCTAATGGCTCTGGCTTCAGAAGTAAGGTATTAGAGACCACTCATCCTGGTGTCTGCTTGATTGTTTGGCTGCTGAGTTGCCCTTTTATTTGGAGGCATGGTGCTGTGGTTGTCTAGGACCCAAATGGCAGCTTTGTACACTTGTCAATAGTATTAGGCAGATATTTATTTTCCTCAAGCTGTTTTATTTGTACAGTGAACTAAAAACAAGTTCCCAAAGATCTGCTTTCACTTCATAAATTTTCTTTGGATTAAGTAATGCTAGTTTGTTATTAAACCCAAGAATTAAGTTCCAATCTACCTCTTAGCACAATGCACATGCTCACCACTGTATTGTTAGCATTCACTAATGCCAGGACTCTTTATCACTGACTGGAATTAACAAAATGTTAAGAACAAAGTTCATCAACATGCTTCCTTATCTTATCTATATGTACATCTTGAAAGCATATATTCCAAAGTGAGGTAGAAAGTCAGATTGTTCGGTTGTATCGCCTTTAGAACTCTGTAGCTCTGTCTTGCAGATTCAAGCTCTCTGTTTGCCCTAATATATAAGGAATGTTTTCTTTTAAAACATTTGCTTATTTGTTACTTGGTAAAAGGCATTTTGTATCATAAAAAACAGTGGCATTGTTTCATGCATATTTTGAGATGATTGTTTAAAAGCCAGCTTCATTAAATCAGCTTGTGATCTTGCCAATTATATGAATTGAACATTCCAGATACATTAAAAAATATGGGTTCATTAAAAATTTTTCTGTTTTTTGGGCCAGGAGACTAATTCATTAATTCTTTACTACGTATCATGCCTTACTCTTAGATAATTAGCAAACGTGTTTAATTCTTTGAGAATAAAATACAAAATATTAAAAAGGATTAAAACAATCTGCTTCAACTCCAATAAAATACAGGAAGTTTAAAGTCTATGAACTGATTATTCAGTTAGGTTTGCTCACTGAGTTCATTCTCCGTTAATACAACAGTGGATCCGAGAGTAGGACTTAGAACTCATGAATGGAATGAATCATTTTTTACCTAAGCTTCTTTGGGAGAGCTGATGCTTGCTGCTACTATAAAGTTTTGGATTTATCAATTTAGAGAACTACTTAATACTTGCAAAATAAAGCATACTGTGGTACTCCTGTTTGATCTGATGTGTAATTTAGATTGATATATCAAAAAATAATAAAGATGATACATTTCATGCCACTATGAATAACTTCATTTTTATTCCATATGCTCAGCCTTAAGAACTTAGATTGATTTGCATAATCTAAGTTCTTTAAATTCTGTTTTCTTGAATTGTAAGCATGAATCATGATCTCATAGGTCACAACTTAAAAATCATTAGTTAGGCATTAAAACCTTTTTTTAAAAACAGAAACTTCAAATATGGGGAGGTACATGGTCATGAAAATTCCTTGAGAAGAAAATATGGAAGTCTAATGAGTAGAAGGACTGCTTAATAAATGTACTTTAACATATATATATATATATATATATATATATATATATATATATATATATATATGCCTGTTTGCATAAGCAAGACATGCTTCATGGGGCAGAAGAGGAGCTGTCCATTTTCTGAAAAGTCTCTTAAATTCAGTTGTTATATGATTGTATTAAATAGCACCACCTACATAATTACACTCCCTCCTTTTTACATAAGTTAGGATATTTTTTGTGAGAGAAGGAATTGAACATCGACTGTCCGCATACTTCCTGAATAATAGTTACATTTTCTGATCGTTACACACTTAACAGCTTTGAATTAATAAAAAGTGGCCTTACCATGCATTTGTAGGACTGGTGAGGGAGTGTCAATAGAACCTATCTTTCTCGTCTCAGCTGTTTCATTGAATAGACTTCACAACTCTGCACTTTATTTTAAGATTGCTGCTAGTAAGAAGAGTGGTTCTATATATGTTGCTTGTGAAAATTACCACGTATCTAATAGTCAACTTGAAGGTTCATCCTTTTAAGTTAAATGTGTATAATTTTTGAATGCTAGTACAGTCTTTAGAACTCTGAGGAAATTTTATTCCCTTTGCTTTTACCTTCTACATGTTTTCAAGGCAATATAAATTTGGGTTCCTTTGTTTCAAGAGGTATACACAATTAAAAATAGAAATCATGGTTTACAGTGCATAATTAGGAGGAAAAAAGCAGTTATAGTTTGAGCAGTTCCAGTTCTATGCACTTCACATACATTATTTCATTTAATACTCATAGCAGCTCTCTGAGGTTGGGCAGTATCATTCCCAACTCACAACAGATGAGGAAACTGAGAGGCTTGAGATACTTAACCAAAGTAACATGGAAGTGGCAAAATTGACATTTGAACCCAGCTTGATTTGCCTCCAAAGACCATGTTGTTAATTAGTATATATCCTGATGTTCTAAAAGCAGTAAATTTATAAAAGCATATGTCTTACATTAAATAGTTACAGAAAAATTTTTTGTGGGACTGGGGTTTTAAAGCAGGGCTTCATACTTGCAAAGCAGTTGCTCTACTGCTTGATCCATACCTCCAGTTCATTTTTGGTCTGGTTATTTTGGAAATGGGGGTCTCAGGAACTATTTTCCCAGGCTGGCCTTGAACTATAAATCTCCCGATCTCAGCCTTCCAAGTAGCCACTCGCGCCTAGCCAGAAATCTGACTTCTGAATTCCACTAGCCTGTTTGTAGTCACTTTATAAATATTCTTCAATATTCTTAAAATAACAAGATTAGTCCAGTCCACTTGAGGGGTGGATGAATGTTCTGGCAGCAAGCTTTTTGAAAGATCAAAACTAAGGGTATTTGTGCTGTACCTCATTAGTTGTGTTAAGCCTTGAATACCACTTTTTTTTCAGGGTAGCCTCATCTAATTATTCTGATCACGTATCATTGTCATTTTGCCCTCCAACTGTTCTGCACCATGAATCATTTTGACTGTGCATTAGTGTGTTTAAGAGACTAAATGGAACTGTCTCTCTCCTCACTTTCCTTAAATTAATGTCTTCCCTATCCCCCAGTCATCCCATGGATTTAAGTGCAGAGTAGCCATGGCTCTTGGCAACCTGAGCCTTAATATACAGTTCCTATTCCCAAATCTAGAGCCTTTTTGAAAAGGTTTCAAGAAATCTTTGCCTGCATATTTAAAGTTTCCAGCCATAATCTGCATCCTCACTTCAGCCTTATCACCTACTTTCCTGTACTCACTCCACTCCAGCCAT